TATTATATTTATTTCATTATTTATATTTTAAATAAAATGAAATAAAAAAATTAATTATTTTACTTAAATAAACAATTTACATAATTCATGACATATTTATAAGCAATTAAATTCAATATTAAAAAAAAAATACTTAAATATTTATTTAATTTCTTTATTGATATTTAAATTCTTTATTGATATTTATTTAAATGCTTTGCAAATAATTAATTTGATTGATATTTTAATTTCCTAATTTAATTGCTTATTTTTATTATTTTACAAATGTTTAAATATTTATTTAAATTCTTTATGTATATAACTTATTTAATATTTAATTATTTCTTTTAATTTTTTTAACACTTATTTTGATCGTTTATTTTAATATTTTCATTGCTTATTTTAATTATTTTACTAACTCTTAATTTAATCATTTATTTTTAATTAATGTTTAATTACTTTTTTTAATTCTTTATGCATATTGATTATTTAATATTTAAAAATTTATTTTAATTTCTTTGCAAAAATTTAATTTGATTGATATTTTAATTTCCTAATTTAATTGACTATTTATTATTTTACAAATGTTTAAATATTTATTAAAATTCTTTATGTATATTACTTATTTAATATTTAATTATTTCTTTACTTTTTTTACTATTGCTTAACATAAAATAAGTAATTAAACTAAATTAGCAAATAATAAATATTTAGATAAATAATAAAATATTTATATTAACCATTTCAAAGAAATAATTTTAAATACATAATATGCGTTAAAATTAAACAATTCAAATAATAATTAATTATTAGACAACACAATATAAGCAATTAAAATAAATAGCTTCAATAATTAAAGGAAATATATATATAAGTAATTAAAAAAAATTGTTTGGGCCTAGATAATGGTCGGCCTAGATGGGCCAGTCAACTGGGCGCCGGGCGCCCAGTTGACTGGGTGCTCAGCGCCTAATTGACTGGCGCCCAGTCGACCCAGTTGACTGGGCTGTCTGGGCCAGTCAACTGGGCACCTAGACGGCCTAGTCAACTGGGTCGACTGGGCGCCTAGATGGCCGAGTTGATTGGGTTGTCTGGATGAGTCTGGGCCATCTTGTCTACTGTGCCAACCGTCTCCTTCGTGGAGATCGCCGAAAAACTTCTTTTCTGGCGATCTCCACTCCATTTTCTCCCTCTCAAATTATTATTCTTACCCAAAAATCATGCATTTTTCCAAAAATCAACACGTATTTAAAATCATGTTTTTTTTTCTCCAAAAATCAACATAAAAACATTAAATATGGGTCGCCTGTTTTCCTTTTTTGTCGGTGCTACAGTAATTTTCTTATTTCCTTTCTATCTTCTCTCTCTTCTTTAAATGGTAAGGGTAAATTTGGATTTCTCTTTCTTTTCAATATTTTAAATATTTTTGCTTTTTTTTTTTAATTAGTCAAAGGTCTCTTTGGAAAATTGGCCAGGTCAATCGATCAATGACCACTATTTCCTGAGTCAATTTCTTGAAACACAACCAAGGTACAAGATTCATAAATGAGGCTGCCTCTGAACTTCAAAATTAGTGGTCGTCTTCAGCACGTGTCTGTGTGTTCTTGTTAAGAAAAGAGCAGGAGACCAAATGTAAATAGAATCGAAGAAAGCACACATAATTTATACCATAAAGCCCACCTGTAGGTGGTGGGGGAGAAGGAGGAGGAAGAAGAAGGGGGGAACGCTGGTAGTGGTGGTGGTGGAGAGGGAGAAAGTAGAAGAAAGAAAAGAAAGAGAATTATTTTCCTAATTTTCTAATAAATTGTTTGGGGATCGTTAGAACTTTTTAAAAAAATTGAAATTATAATTATCATTAGTTCTTTATTTTTTTTCTCATTTCTGTTTTATTTAAATATGAGGATGTATTCGTCATTTTATAGTTTTATTGAGAAATTGGATAAAAATGATATTTTGCACAATCAAAAGTGTAATTAAGGGTGAAAATACCAAAAAATGAAATATATGGACCCTTCCCAAAATAATAATGAAACATAGGAATGTTATGTGCTAATTACCCTTTTACGATGTAAAGATTACAATGGATTGTAGGAAGTGATTCGCAGGTCGAATAGTTGATGTTGGGATGAGAGAGATTAAAGCTTAATAAAGAACAGTGGTGATTGGGTCAAATGATAAGCAGCTAAGCAATATTATGTCCTGTTTGGTATTGATTTAAATTAAATTTTATATGTTTTGTGTGTGGTTGTAATGGAATTTTAATTGATAAGGCAAATAGGTAAAATTGTGGCACGTTTATCGGTTTGTGACTTAATCGTCTGGGTTGTCGGTTATTTTACCCATTTTTAGTAGATAACTTACTATGCGACCGGATCTGTTTAATTGATCGATCGATCAAATTTTAATAACATTAAATATTTCTGTCACAAAAATAAAAAATGGCATTCACAAACAAATAATACATTATTTATGACTACTACTAGTTTGATTTTTGGTAAGCTCACATAGCAGTGTTTTCACACAACATTTTTGGCTATTTTGGATCTTCCTTGCGTTATCCTAGTAGTCGTTAACGTGCACGTGCCTGATACCACTGATTACCCCCTTCTCCATTTGCTCTTATGAATAGGGAACACTACTCTTTGGACTCCAATTTAATAAAAGAATTAATGTTTGTGGTGGAGCTCTATAACATGCCATTAATTTATGAATAATGCGTTTGTTTTATAGTATACATGGTTCAACCTTGATCTCCAAAATACGTGTCCTGAATAGTGTACGTGTTTGGATGAACTTGTGAGCTGGTCAAACATGCTTATGAGCCTAAACATCTACGAACACGATTGTACGGCATGTTTGATCCTACTTAAAAGACTTGTTCAAATAAACAACGGCATGTTTGATCCTACTTAAAAGACTTGTTCAAATAAACATCAAAATACGTGTTTATAAATAGGGCTAAACATGATCAGTTTAATTTTGTTACACCCTAAATCTATTAAAGGCTTACGCAGGCACACATGCTGCAATGAAGATCGCTGCACCTAGCATTTCAACGGGGGAGATGCGTGGTAGGACCGCATGTCCACCACCCTTGTCGGCAAAGGCCTAATAGATATGCCTCTTCGTTATTATTATCATCCCTTCGATCTTTGCACAATGCCTCCAAGGAGGGAATATATGATGGTCGAAGACCTTTGGTGGAGCATTCATTCGAGCTGGCACATGTGCACAAGAAAACTATCGGACAACCTTGGAGACCAAAGAAAATATTATACGATCTTTACAAGGAAATCCAGTTCTACAAGGAAACTTATCATAACTAAACGGTGACTCATGCGTACCAAGGAGAGTATGGCGCGTGTATTAGGACTACACGATTCATAGGTATCCTTCTCCTATAAGACAACACATACTTAAATGTAAAAGATATGGTTTTTATGTTATTCTCTAAATATGGTTCTTAACGATCATCGGCCCCTTTTCTCTTTAACTTGGTGATTTTACTTTCCGAGTGTACCATTAACACACAGAGTGATAAAGTCGTGGTTGGAGCTATTGACAATTGAATTTTAACAATATTTTAGGTTAACAAATTTTGTGCAAGTATATATGTACACGTACTATTACAAACATATTAACTTTTAACATGTATTTCATAAAAAAGATTTTCAAGTTATTATGTAAAAAGTAACTTATAAGTTTATCTAGGCCCTACCAATTTTCATTCTTGATCGAGCCTTAATATGCATGTTTAGCATCGTATTGTATGCAATTTATCAAGGTACAATACCTTTAATGTATGGACATCATTTTGGGAAAAAATTATCACTTCTTGACAAGAAGACCTTAAACCAAATCCATGACTCGTGGGCTTTGTCACATTTTAAATGTGTGTGAAAATTCCCGTGCAACTTATTTTCTACGAAAGTACATTTGGACAAAGAACACGAAAACAAGAACTTTTCGTGTCACACACTTGAATTTGTTTTAACTCAAAATTTTGTCAAGGTTATTAATAACAAAGTCAGTTGTTTAAGAATGAGCAACGTGAAAAACTTATCCAAATGACACCCATCATCACGAGTAGCCTATTCTTAAAACGATTTGATTTTCATGAAAGGGATGAAGAGAGATGCCGTGTGAGAGGTCTGAGTAAAGTCAAAATATTCAAATCCAAGTTCACCAATTGTATTTATAAAAGTAATATCTTAGCTACCTAGTTGCATTTTTAGCCCCGTTTGGTTCTGATTTTTTAATCAAAAAAATTAATTTTTTGATCGTTACTTCCCTAATTCAGCAATTATTTTTTACTTGTTCACTTATAGGTGAGACTCACTTTTCTATCTAACAGTCAAAAAATTGATTCTCAAAATCACTACCGAACATACCCTTAGTGCTTATTCCACGTAGCAGTATTAGTTCATGGTTCATTAGGAGCCTGTTTGGTAGTGATTTTGAGAATTGATTTTTTAACCATTAGGAGAAAAATGGGGTCCATTTGTGAGAGAAGAAATCAATATGATGACTGAAATAATGAAATAACGGTAAAAAAATCAATTTTTTTGGAGAAAAAATCATTCTCTAACAGGCTCTAGATACGATTAAAGATGAGATATTGTACTAACAATATAAACGACAATGTAAAAGGCCGAAACCCCATTTTTGTTCACATTAATTTCCACATGATGATCTTGTGGGGGGACCCCACTATGGAATTTATTTGACTTATTCACAATGGTAAGAACAAATGTGCTGATTTGTTTGGGACGAAAATACATCATTCAGAGTTGACCCATTACGTCATCTCAGCAAGTAAATGGTACCGGGTACATCATTATCATGGCAGATTTTATTATCCATCTGATGGCTTGTAGAAGGCAAGCTGCACATGTTTTTTCTCCCCAGTTTCCACCATATATATCCACTCTCATGTTCTGCAACTTAACACTGAATTACACATATTCTCTCAATATCTCTCTATCTAAATCTCACTCTATCTGATACCCACAAGACTAAAAATGAAGCCACTTTCATTTGACACCTTCTTAACTCCATCTAAGTTGGCTATTCACAAGGACTCCCACACTATAAACAAATTGAAGCCAAAAATTCGCATAATTCACATTGTTGCACCAGAAATCATAAAAACTGATGCCGAAAATTTTCGGGAGCTTGTACAAAGACTTACAGGCAAACCTACTGCAGAAGTTAAAGATACTACAAAGGAGAAGCGTGAAGTTAAAGGAAGTACAAAGAAGGAAAGTAATGTTCAGTCGAAATCGTTGCACAGTTGCTGCAGCCAGCCAAAGAAGAACATGGAATCAGCTGAAGGTATTATAAACGAGAGTGAAGGAGAAATATATGGGGACTTTCCAGATGGATTTTTGAAGTTTCTTGAAGATGTTGATGACTTTTTCGATAATGAAGAGGAGAGTAAAATTTCCTATACCTCAGTTTAAATCTTCTCAAATCAACATGTATGAGGAAATACATCTTTGCTAGAAGACATTTGTGCATAAATTAAGGTTTTTTTCTTCAGAAACATTGCGTTCTTGCACCAAATTTGATTGCTGGAGAGCTCGCTTATCTCTCTAAGAACATTGCATGCTAACAAAGATGGAGTATTTCTATTTATTAGCCCTGGGATTCTATCTTTTGGTTTATTCATTGTCTTTCACAGGACACGTTATGTTTTCTAGTGAGAATGGTGCATTAGCATTCCATAAGCCATAAATCTTCAATTAACTTATGCTGTATTTTGGTTAGGTTTGAAAAGAGCTTATAAACTTGTAGTGAGGTTTATTTTTTACTATTAATAGAATTGTTTTATTTTATTTTTTTTGTTGTGGAAAACAATGTTGTCGCATGTCTTTTATTAATCTGGTGGAAGAAGCATGTGCAACACCACGAGACAAGTAGATCTACCACCTAACCTGCCATCAATTGACAACTAAGTTGTAGTTTGAAGAAGAAGGAATTCCTAACTGTATTTGTGAAGTGAAAGACTCGATCATCAATGCGTTTCCGGAGCTCAGTTCATCCAATCAACCAACAACTCAATGAAGAAACCAAACCAAAACCCCTCTAATCTTCCACCCTTATGGCTGCTTTCAATCACTCACAAAGGACGCACAGATAGAAAATGTAATCATGTTATGAAATTAGCCACAATGGCAAGAAGAAGAAGAAAAACAGTGGATGCAGTCACAAAGAGAGGAACAACCTTTTCTTTATAAAAGAAAAAGGAAGCAATTATACACATAGCATAAACTAAGGAAGGCAACCAGATAAATTATTAACATTAGGGTATAGTAATGGGTCAAGCCCCAGGTAAGTGAGCTTAAGTGTATCACTAAGTGAATTAACATTTATAAGACATCCAAATAAGTGGGAAACCGGTCATGAGCAACACTAATTAAATTAGGTTACTTCCAATTACCCAAATATTTTTAGAGTCAGGTCATTTCATTTGGGCATCGATTTTTCATTCAGTCATTTGATCGATGCCAAGTGAAAAATATACCAAGTTACATCATCGTTCGGGAGGTTGTTTGACATTAATTTGCCTAACAAATCTCCACCCCGTTGTCAAATGAATTGCAAGGAAAAATTATCACTTGTTAGTAATAGTTCCAAAAATGGGAGCCAATAAAATTGTAAATTAATTGCCTCCACCTATATTTAGAAGATCCTTGCAACTTCTAAACTTCACCAATGATAGCACCTTAGTGTCCATGTCCGAAGGATTATATTTTGTATATATCTTTTAAAGTATTATCATTTCTTGTGATACAATATCTCTAATAAAGTGTAACCTAATATCAACGTGCTTGGTGCGTTCGTGAACACACTAGATTTTTGCATAAATTTATAGAAGATTGACTATCCGAATATATTACCACGTAATCATTCAAAATACAAAGTTCATGAACCAAATCTCTAAGCCGCAAAGTCTCTTTAATTGCTTTAGTGGTAATAATATACTATGATACTATCGTGAATAGTGCAACTATATGTTGTAACTGTGATTTCCAACTAACACGAGAGTTAGAGAAAGTGAACACATAGGAAGAAGTTGATTTTCTATTCTCTCTATTCCTTGCATAGTTTGCATCTATAAAATCGTTCAGTTTCACACCTTTTTTTATTAGCACCAAGTTTTAGACCTACATCATTAGTTCCATTTAAATACCTTAACATCCATTTTAAGGCTTCCCAATGCTCGAGACTCGGATAAGACATGTACCTACTGAGAGTACTAACAGCAAAGGCTAAATCTGGCCTTGTATAAACCATCAAATTTATAATAGATCTAATCACATTAGAATATGAGATCTTACTCATGTATTCTATTTCATTTTCATTGCATGGAGCATGGTCTTTAGATAATACAAAATGATTAGATAAAGGTAATGTAACAGGTTTATAATCATGCATGCCAAATATTTTCAATACCATTTAAACATAAGAGGTTTGATATAAAAACAAAGCAAAATTTGACCTATCTCTTTTAATTTTCATATATAGGATTCTCTTAGCTTTATATAGATCTTTCATGTCAAATTCGTCATTCAACGTTGTTTTTATCTTGCTTATCCACTTCGGTGATGAATCAACCAAGAGCATATCATCCATATATAGCAATAAAAACACATAGTACAGACAGTGATCAAATTTATTCCTCTGAAACCCTATAATGAGTACAAAAGAATCAAATCTTTTATACTACATCTGTGATTGCTTTAAGCCATATAAAGACCTTTTTAAGAAGCACACATGATCGGCTTTTAGTATATCTTTAAAACATTTTGGTTGATTCATAAAGATTTGCTCATTAAGTTTACCATGTAAAAAAGTAAATTTTACATCAAGTTGTTTAAGTTCCTACTCAAAATGTGCAACCAAATAGTAGTGTACTTAACAATTGGTAAAAAAAAATTTCGTTATAATCAATACCCTTCTTCTGTGTGTACCCCTTAGTTACTAACTTAACTTCCAATTTTAAGGGTTCAAAAGCTCTGGTACTCTTCTTAACCTTGAAACCCCACTTACAGTCAAATGTAGATTTATTCTTAGGTCTATGTATTATATCACTAGTTTATTTTTCTTCTAAGGAACTCCTCTCCTCTTTCATTGATTTAAACCATTCTTCAGATTGTTCACTTTTCATGCCTTCTCAAAGGTTTATGACTCTCTATTAAATAGCTCATCATAGCTAGCGAGAGCAAATGCTAACTCAAACTCATATCCAAATCTTGTAGGTGCTCTCAATTATCTTCTCTCTATTCCTAGCTAAGTTACAATCTGTTAAGGGATTTTCTTCCTCGGGATTTTCTTTTATGACTATTTCATCTCTATTCTCCACCTTAGGTTGCTCAACCCCAGTCTCCACCTCATTAAGAATAGCAGGGACATATGAGCTAAGTTTTTCGAACTCTACCTTCAATTGATCTTACTCTTCACTTTGTTGTTCTTCACTCACAGATTCATGTTCAGTTTTAAGGCAAGACATTTCACCCCCATTGAACGTAACATCTTTACTCACAATAATCTTAACCCCATTTTGGCTTTTATCACATAATCTATAACCCTTGACACGCATGAGGTAACCTAGAAAAATATATTTTCTAGCTCTAGGTTTAAGCTTTCCTTCAATTTGATGAGAAAAAGTAGCACAACCAAAAGTTCTAAGCACATAATAATCACTTAGTTTACCAGATCATTTTTTATGAGTATCACAATTTATTTCTTCCTTGAGTGACAGTAGATGTATATCTCCTTAAATCAGAATGCGCGCGCGCGCGCACACACACACACACACACACACACACACACACACACACATATATATATATATATATATATATATTCGAAAATGGAAGTAGTTGTAGGTTTTTTAATTTTAAAATGGAGTCTGTGCTGTTTGCCTAAAGTGTAGTGTTCCTAGAAAGGTACTTTTGAGATGGTGTCCTTTCCAAAACTCCATTTTTATACAAAATGTGTAACCCCTTTCACTTAGACATGCAAATCTATTGTGCCACTTTAACATGGCATCAATTGCAACACTAGAGACTACAACAAGATGAGATATAACTGCAGTAGCCTTAGTGACATAGATATCCTTCCTCTTGGTACCTTTGAAAATGACAAGTGAACCTTTAATCACTTTTAATATGTCATTTCCAATTCTACATTCTAAACCTATGTCATTGAGGTTTCTCATTGAAATTAGATTTGTGTTTAGTTCTGGGACATATCTTACCATTTTAAGGTTATAGACACATCATTCTCAAATTTCAAATTTACATTTCCTATCCCTTTACCTTGCAGGCCACGTTATACATTACTACTTTCCCTTCATTCACTTTCTTATAATTTTTCAACCAATGTTTCTGGAAGTCATGTGAAAAGTATACCTAGAATCCAAGATTGGATTTGATCACTGTCATCTGCAATGTTTACAGTGTTCAGGTCAGAAGGTAACTTAAAGACATCATAAACATCAACTTTGTTATACTCTAGAGGTTCTACCAAATTTCCTTCATCTAAATTCATTTCCCACTATTCATTTTTTGCTTATAGTAATCTTTTATAAAATGACCAGTTTTCAACACCCATAACACTTTTTATTCTTAGTCTTAGATTTAGACCTAGACTTCCTCTTTTTCTTCTTTTTATTATTACCGTTTCCTTGATGATTCTGATTATCTTGATTACTATATTGCCTATTTTGCAATCTATCTCTTACATATAAGCTCTCAAAATCCTTCTCATGCTTCTTAGATTTTAGTTCTAATTCCTTACTCCATTAATAATTAATGATAATATTAGGGATTAGAGTGCACTCGTCGTACTTAGTGGCAATATTGACATCTCTTCATGCCTCAAGTATGGCACTAAGGAGCACTACTGCCTTATACTCATTAGAAACCTTATCAACAGTATTAATAATATCTTGTACCAAATTCTTGAAAGTGTCTAAATTATCATCTAAATCATTAGAAGAGTCTATTTTAAAACTAAATAATCTTTCCATGAGAAACAACTTATTAGGTAAGGACTTAACCAAGTATAGCTCTTCTAATTTATCCCACAATGCTTTAGCAGTATCTAATTTTTCTACTTTTCCTAACACTTGATTAAATAAATGCAATATGATTAATGTATAAGCACGTTCATCAACTTTATTTCTTTGATCGACAGTCATGATAGTAGGATATTCTTGTGTTATTGCTTTAGAAATCTTTTGTTTAACAAAGTCTCCTCTTTTTTGTTGTCCAATGGAAAAATCCTTTTTTCCATTAAAAACTACAAGTTCAAACATAGTACTTGTCATTGTAAAGTTCTTAATTTAAAAAAGAAAAGAAAAAAAGAAAAGGAGAGAGCTAGAAGAGTTTAGTATTCATTGTGTAAAAAAAATAATAAAAAAATAAAAAATAAAAAAATTGATAAAACACAT